ATAAATCGTGAGCGGCGCGTACCGAAGAGGGGGGCAGGGAGAAGCCCGGCCCGACAGATGCGAGCATCTGGCCGCAGCATTCATTAGACACAAAATGGCTCCTCTTCGGAGCTTCCTTCCCCCTCCCCCTTCTCTGCCCTCCCCCTGACGTCACGGGTGGGCGCGCCCGCTTTCGCCTCGCCCCGCCCCCTTCTCGCTTCGGCCCCCACGTGGGGGACGCCGGCCACGCCCTCAAGCGAGGTCCCGGCGACCAATCGCGGGCGGCCGCGGGGGCTCCTCGCCGCTGATTGGCGAAGCTGCCGGGAGCTGTCCGTCTGCGGCCGAAGCTGTCAGTCAAAACCACGCGGGGTGGGGGAGCGCTGACAAATGCCGAGGCTTCTGAGCCTCCCGCTTGCAAATAGTGCTTGGAATGGCTGCTTAATTAGCTTTGAATGGCTTTTCCTTCCAGCTCAAACAATCTGTCACTACCATGTGGTATAAAGGAGCCATGCATAAAAAAGTAAGCAGAGGCTAAATATCAATTTGATTTTGTGTATCAAAGGAATATTTTATTTTTCTCCCTCGTAATGAAACGTATCAATTTAAATAATAAAAGGTAAAAACACACACACACAACCCCCCCCCAAAAAAGGAAAAGAAAAGAAAGAGAAAAAGAGAAAGAGAAAGAAAACCCAAACTCCTCGCGTTCCGATCCCGCGCAGGCCTGAAACAGGTCACTCGTGCGGCCCACGATCAGGAGGAAGCCCGACGTCCCCCTCCCACCCCAAAGCTGCGCTTAGTGTTTCGCTGTCGTCCTCCAGAAGTCCAGGAGGGGCATGGGGGAGGGGTGGCCTGCACGAGGGGGCGTGGGGGCGGGGAGGGGGCGAACTTGAAAGGGAGCTCTTTGAAGCTGCTAATCAAAGTGGAGGGGGTTTTAAGACCCCGTAAACTGGGGTCCTACAGCAGGTCTCGATTTGCGAGCCGAGACGCGGGGGGCGGGAGGGTGGCGAGAGCGGGAGCGCGTCTAGCCCGGATTTATTAAACACAATGCCCGGACGCGGCGCCTCGCCGGCCTCCCTTGGCTGCCTCCCCCCGACTGGCCTCGACGGCGCCCGCCCGCAGGTGGCCGAGGAGCCTCCGGGCCCCCGGGTCGCGTCTACGAGGCCTGGGCTCAGAAAAGCCCAGCAGCTCCGCCTCGGACCTCCTGCCCCGACGTCCACGCTCCTGGTGACGCCACAGGCCACCGCGCACACCCACGTCCAGGCCTCGTGCGAAGCCGGCGCCGAGCCGGGCACACCCGGGAGCCCGCGGCTTCGTGGCAC